AATATAAAGGGCCTTTTCTGGGGTACAGAAAACTACAATTCATACAATTTAGATGAAATGAACTAGTGAAAACATCATGAGGATTATTCTACAATAAATTTCTGCCAATAGTTCCCTTTCACCTAAATCTTACACACTGGACCTTTAACTTCAGCTTTGACCACCAAATACTAATCAGGTCATCCTTCAATTCAAGTGAATGTTTATGCTGGATGAAAATCCCTCAAGGTGTTCCTGATATATCATGTTCACAAAAACAATCAAACAACAGCTACAATCTAATGAGTTCATTCTTGAGATGAAGTGAACATTTTACACAAGAAAGAAGAAATGACCTCTTGGTGTTCATGAGATACACTTACAAGAATGGGACAGACATACAGACGTTGTGACAACCCGAAAAACACAATACCCCCCCCCCCTCCAGCCACTGAAACTGGGACATGATAAAACTGTATGAATAATTTCAAATTAAATCAAACCAAACCTGCAGAAAATGAATATTGCGTCTTTAAAGATACTTCGTTTCCTTTGAATGATATTTGGATTTATTAGAAATTAGCAATGGGAAGATTAATCATGAGTATATCATGTTTTAAACACACATATATACTGTAAATATAGTGTATCTTATATACTTTCAATATAGTTAAGATCTTATAAAGCAACTATCAAAATACAAGTTCATGTTTCTGTTACTACACCTAAATAAACCATTCCACAAACTCTTCTCATGACTTCATGTGGCCTGTGGTTGGTCAGGAGCCATGTTCAGTCATTACTCACACGCTAACCTGACACTGGACGCCTGCAAGGGCCATGAGAAAGTCAGTCCCTTCAGAAATGATGCTAATCTTTCTATTAGAGAATTCTAGTTATTTGAGTTTGACTTCAGGAGGGTTTAATGTCCAAAGAGACAAAGAATTAAATTAACTGAATCCGATGATCGAAAAATCTTACATCATTCATGAAACACTGGTTCAAGCAAGAGAACAAAAACAATTCAACAATAATTCCTTTGTCAAAAGGGAAACCTTGTTTTACAGGTTACTGTGATTTAATTAAAGTCACCAAATACTATTTAATGGCTTTGTTAACTTAGCAAAGCAACATTATTATATTAAGATTAATTTGTGAAGTTGCCCTCAATATTTAATGTATGATGGCAAAACACAAAATAACAAAAGTTTTGATCAGAGTGGAGGTCATGCAACAGGTCTACAGAGGAATTCTCTGGCTTTTCACCAAGACTGCGGGTCTACCGCATGACTACTGAGTGTCCAGTAGATAATTTATATTTGTATATTTATATAAATTAATTCCGCAAACAGAATTGAGTGATACATTTCACGTTTGCATTGGAATATATTGGTTAAATCCCCCAGACAATGTTGAGCAGTGACACAAGAATAGTTACTATTGAAAACTGTTTCAGCTCAAAATGTTAATATTTGTCTAGAATTATGAAAGATAAATGATCAAAACAAATATAAATGGTTGGCACGACTGCAGGCATTTTTCTTTCTGTATTTTCTGCAGTGCATGAGATTTGGTAACCGGTTTGATTGCACTTCCCAGGTCCTGCTGTACAGTTTAAGGAGCACTGCAGTGTGCCTGGCGGCCCTCCAGAGCACACAGCGGAGCGGAGCCCTGCCCGTCGCCCTTCCTGCGTTTGTTCTGATGCTTTGATTTGGCCCAAGATGTCTAGAGCCTCATTCCAGCCCGCTGAGAGAGGTCAAGCACTGCTGCTGTCCCAGGGAGGTCTGAGGAAAACTGGGGTGGACGGGGTCAGAGCGTGAACGTGACAATGTGAGTATAGCAGGAGTGAGTCGTAAGTCTTGGCTGTAATGCAGTCAGCCCACTGAAGTCACTTTTACAGAACAGTCACCGCACATTATAATTAGGTAGTCGTGTCACTGCTTCCTTTTAAATCCAGCCATCGCACCGCCCTGTACACTCAGCTTCAGAACACTGCTTATCTACAAAATGCCAGTAACTCTTAATCAGGGACAACATAACACAAACTCAACATATGTTATTCTTATAATAATAATTCAGTTGATGACAAATTATTTAAAAGTGTTATTCAGTTCCTGGGGGTTGTTTGTCTGAGCAAGAGAAATCCACACTTGCCCTTTTTATGAGGTTGTAATTTGAAGGTATAGTGAATAGTGAGATTATTTTATTCATGATCAATTCATGAATGACTGTGATCAGTATAGCCCCTGTGGTTGTATGCCTCTGCCAACCAATGCAGTTTTAGTCCACATACTTTTTTCAATATTAAGGAGGTCACTGTGACCTTTGACCTCTGAAATCTAATCAGTGCATATTTGAGTCAAAGTGACAACTGGTTAAAATGAAAAGAAATTCCTCAGGGCAGACTTGAGACATCATGTTGAACACGCCACTGTGAACTTTGACCACTCAAATTCTAATCAGTTCATCTTTGAGTCACAGTGGATGTTTTTACCAAATTTGAAGAATGTCCCTCAAGGTGTTCCTGCGATGTTGCGTTCACATGACCATAAACATGCTTTGTAAGGTGACCATGACCTTTGACCACCAAATTCTACTCAGGTCAACCTTGAGTCAAGATAAACATTTGTACAAAAAATAATTTGAACAGTTCCTCCAACATTTCTTGAGATATCGTGTTTACAAGAATGGGACAGGCGACCTGAGAGCTGGTGCTGGCTTGGTGATAAAAAGCAGAACTTGATTTGGGATTATTTTGTCTAAACTACCTCAAAGGTAAATAAATGAACTTGATATATATACTTAAAAAAAATGGAGAAGCTTTGCTTACATACTCTTAAACTAACTGAAGAACTGCACGAAAACTCCATGGTGCTCATGTTTGTGCAAACGGCAATAAACTGCGGAAACTCAATAAATAGAGAAAACGCTGAGTCATCTCACTAAGATAACTGCACACAGAGGCATTAAAAAGACAGCCACATGTTTATCTGATACTAAGGATCAGGAAAAATATTATTTCCTGACATGAAATTAAATTAGCCTTCTCTAATTCACTCCAGGTTTCTCAGTGTTACAAGCTCTGATGTGATTTGTGTCTGAGGCCGTAATATGTCCACAAGTGATGAATTTAGCAGGACTGGGTTTTCATCAGGTTCTGCTGACTGGGTTCATCAACGCAATCTTAACCAGTTCATCAGATAAAGATGTTAGTGGGACAATTTAAACTGAGTTTACAGCAGGTAATTACTGTGCACGCACTCTTACATAAACACATTAATTCACTGAACAATCTACACTTGAGTCTACAGACAATATTATTTAGCAAGCTGTCAATGTGAATCCAGTCATCCCTCCCTTCATGGCTCTATCCATCCATCCATCCATCCATCCATCCACCCACCCCTTTTCCCAGACAGGCCAGAGCCGGGATCACCCTCTCCTGGGCGATGCACTGCAGGATCCTGGGTGCTCCGTACAGGCCGCCCATGCAGGAAGCCAGGGAGGAGACATAGAGGCCCAGCAGAAAGAGGAAACCCACCAAGGAGACCTGGAGGAAGAAGGAAAACAAACAGAGGGGTGGAAGAGGATGGGGTGGGGTCGAGAGCGCACAACAGCTACACCCAGTTCAGTTCCGCTGCAGCCAGCTCCTTATGAAAACAATGAGAATATTGTTTTCAATAAAGAGTGAGTGTAATGGGCTAGCTTTGATAATAGACTGATCACAGTCTTGCTGTTTTACTCTGACTTCACACGTTAGTCCATAATATCATATGGTGAGAAGTAGTCCACCACCAGCTGAGCTCATTCATACTAAAACAATCTCTGCTTCATATCTGGCTGATGCACATCGACTGAAACACAAACTGTCAGACGACTCAGCAGCATCAGAAACCTCATTGATCAGCTCTTCATTACAGCTCAATCACTTCCTCCCACTTTAATAAAAACTTCTTGGTAGTGTCCCTATAAACTCAACTCTGCTCTATGTAAATCCACCCTGTCTTCCTCACACCAGTTGTGCATATGGAGCCAGACACATGCTCCATTGTCGCTGACATTCATAGACGTTAAACCTGTTTAAATGTTTTTTTTGCGTCTCTTTGTTACATGGATAATGTGCTTTAATGTTTCTTGTGTTGTTTTTGAATGTGACCTGCACCCTGATCTGTGGATGCTGGCATTTCGCTCCCAAATATGCTGTAATGTGTATAATGTGTAAGAGACATATAAAGCTGAACCCAATGGGGTTATGTTTTCATCTGCGTTTGTTTATTTGTCTGTTAGTTCGCTGGATTACGCAAAAAACTACAAGACGAATAACTGAAAAACTTGGTGAAAGGATGCAGTATTGCTCAGGGGAGAACCCTAGTATTTTTCTTAAGAATTTCTGAAAACACTCCTTATAATATAATAAATAAAAAAACCAGCCAAAAACTGATCAGTGAAACAGACACAATAAATAAATGTACGTGAATGGGAAAATATATCTGTTCACAATCACATTTTAACCATTTTAATCAGTTTGTTTGCAAGTGTTTGTTTGGGCACATGCCCAGGAGCCTGGAGTCAATTGGGACCCTTGGCTTTAATATTTATTAATAGGCTCTAGTGGGTAGAGATCTGGGGACCGCGGTCATGGTTATCAGTCCAGGTTATAAGAAATAAAACAAACTCGCACACAAAACAATGCAGGTGTAAAATGTTTTTTCATTCTTGAACACGAAATGTTCCACTTGAGGGAAAAAAACCATCTCAACCATTTCAAAAAGTTTATACAGTCTTTCAACCCTGCTGCCAGAGGGCCTCTCTCACAGGGCAGGATGGAAACAAAGAGAGGAGTTTACCTTTTCTGCGATCAAGAAGTCATAGCGCAGAGCTTCTCTGGTGCAGATGGCCCCGAGGAGGAAGGCAAAGACCAGATACAGGAACCACCTGAGGGTCACCAACAGTACACCACATTGAATTATTAACAACGGCGCCTTTCTCACTATTTATAGGGAAATTGTGTCATCACACTATGAGTGATATAGTCATGCTGTGAATGTGGGATTGTTTATTCTCCCTGGTGAAAATAGATAAGGCTGTCCTTTTTATAAGATACCACTACGTTTGAGATTAATCATACCTTGACGAAGAAAATAAACTCTATGAAATAAACTGGGGTTTTCTAGAATTCTTTTTTCTTATTATGTAACCACTTTCACTGAACCTGGGTCAGTCTGTGCACCTTTACTGCAGTTGTGGTCTTATATAGTTCATTGTGTACTATTTCACTGTGGTGTTTTTGTCTTTTACAGTATTGCTGTGTTGTATACGTTTGTTTGGGAGTGTGTTTTGGCTGTTGTCATACGAGGTGAAGACAGCTGCCAGTGTTCCCACAGGGATGTTGTGTTCTGGCCGCTGAAGGTCTGAGCTCATGTTGAAGCCTGCCATTACCCCTACACACACACACACGCACACACACACACAAAAACAAACACAAACACACACACACACACTAGTCAAGAAACCACAGAAATAGACACAACATACTGTGCAATACAAAAGGATTTTTGTATATTGCATATAGCTGCAAGAATGGGAGAGTTAACAGCGCATGTAGTCTAACTACCTGTAGCAGCAGGGAAGAAGACCCCAAATACAGTGAAGAAGTTTTCTCCAGGAGTGTAATCAGGCTTTGTGTTGCTGTTTAGCAGTCCGACTGAATAACCAATGAAACCATGCTCTGAAAGAAGAGGAAGCAGCAATGAAAATCAGCACTGAACCTTAGGTCGGGACAAGCTGAGCATAAACCTGTCAACTGCAGACATAAGTACAAATCTTTTTTGCATCTCATTATGTGGTATACAATACAGAACGTATAAACAATATTTCATCATTACCTTCACCAAGAACAGTGTTTTTTCATCAGCTTTTGTTTGTTTGTTTGCAGGATTACGCCAAAATCTACCCAACCGATTTCCGAGGTATTTTGTGGAGGGGTGGGGCATGACCCACCAAAGAACTCAGTACATTTTGCTGCAGATCAGGGGGCAGATCCAGTAATGATTGTTTTCACTTCATTTGCTATTATCACTATTCTAACTTTAACATTTGACTTAGTATCACAGAGAATAATCCATGGATCCATGACATGGTCAGGGGACTGATATTTGTTGCAGATCCAAATAAACATGTGGATCTAGTGATTTAAATGTGGTTTCATAAGGGGACTGTTGGGCCTTGGGCCGTTCTAGTTACTAATGTGATAATCAACTTTTATATCAGGCTTTTTCCCCAATGATTGCATCGCTAGACTACAGCCTCTATCTCTCCCTGCAGCTACAGAATGATGTAATGTAATCAGCTGCTTACTGCTGTGCAGTTTTCATTTTCTCTGTATTCAGTCATACTTTTAAGTCCAGGATGCTTAATAGTGAATTTTCTTTTTTTACACTGCACTTCCTGGAGAAGTTGAGACCAATGGGAAATGACAACACATCATGTCTGCACGAGGGGATTTTACTTAAGAAAGAATTGTGAGAGACCAGAAACTATAGGTTTGGAAAATATCCCATCATGTCTGCAAACTATCAGAACTTCACACTGGGAAGCTGCATGTCCAGAATATAAGAATATGAGAATAAATTGTGTGAATTTCAATCAAACAACTGACAACAATAGGTAGAAATTCACTTTAAACATATGCGGTACAAAAGATGAGTGTGGTTTGATGAGCCTCGGTCAGTTTGGTGGTTGAGTGGGGGAGATTGTTCTGAACTGATGGGGGCCATTTCAAGCGCGCAGGCTGAAGGGCCAGTCTGTGTTACAACACCGGACATTTCCCCTTTGGTTATCTTTCGATGGGAAAGAATGTGTTCTGTCAGATTAATGACATGTTTATCCAAAAGGAAGTCGCCGCCCTTTTCAGAAGCTCAACAGCTTCCAAGTTTGAGAGAAAAGAATGAGAGCGAGCGAGAGAGGGAGACAGAGAGTTAGAGCAAGAGAGAGAGGGAGAACATGCACAGTCCTTTTTCTCTTTTGTGTTTGTCAAAAGCCAAAACCAAAAAAAAGAGACTTGGTTATACCAGTTATATCTCCTGCACATATTTTCCTGGGATAGGAATTTAAAGAGGCAAAAGAAACGGACATCAAACGGGACTGGGAGCCTAAACTCTTGTTCACTTGGGGACCCGGTGCGACCGCCCTCTGTGCAAACAATCACAATCTAACAAATCCAGGCCAGTTAGTGTCCATGTCTGCACCACGGGCTCTCCACCCATATTACAACATCATGCTCCAACATCCAACAACTCTCTGCAGTTGAGGGCGTTCACATATTTATGAGGAAAACTTGTTTCTATGAACACAGATTCAAAGTTTAGAAATACTGTCAGAGTTTCAGCATTTGATCTCAAGAGATGTGAACAAAGCTACAAACAATGTCTTTCAAGTTGTGTTTTCCGTTTTATGAAGGAACCCGCACCTCTAATACCTATAGGTCCTATAGCCTGCACACAGATTCAAGAGAAGAAAGTTGAATTGTATGATGCAACTTTGCATCTCTGTGAAGTCACATGCCTTCTCCACGCTCCACTGGCTCATTCTGTCTTTTCATCCAACCACAACCTGACAGGCTCGCCTTGAGCCAATCACGTGTCATCTGCCAGAGCTTAAAATGTTCTCTCTCCCTCCTGTCATTCAGCTGTCAGTTCAGTACTGTGATCAATCAGTGACCCTCCTCTGCCCCTACACCATCTCAATGAATACTGAAATCTCTTCAACCGTCCAATCAGAGGCCTTCATGAGACGTTGCGATGTTAGGTTAGGTTGCTGTTAGCGTTAAGCTCAAGATATACGATAAACCATCTACAGACCATGCTGTCTTACAGACTGTCTTTTGCCACATGATGGATGTTTGTGACTTGACTCAGTTTGGATCTTGTCTTTAACTTTTGCATCATATGCTGAAATGTTGTCAGAGGATCTTGATGTGGTCTGCAACAATCACTTTGATTTAAAGGTTCACCTAGAGTTTAAAGATGTGACTGAGATGAGAGCACCCACATTTCAGTGTGTATATTGAACAGCAAGTGTACAGGCGGAGTGGGGCTCCTCTCTCAGCTCAGCATTCCTCTGATACCCACTGGAATGTGTAGTCAGATTACATGAGCATCTGAGGCCTCTCTCCCTGACTCACTGACCTCTAACTCTCCGACACCAATCACTATAAACTGCTGTGCATGGGGAGCTGGGCTGACTGTGATGTTGCAGAGGTGGGGCACATCCCGCTGGGATGATTGAGAACCATATATTACCGTGGAATCACAGAGTGAAGTGTGGCGGTCCCTGGAGTCCCAGCCGCGGCCTCAGATCTCAGTTCCGGCGTTCTCTCTTTGTCATTTTCCAAAAATGTGGGTGAGTCTGGCTAACACCCTAAACCCCAGACCCAAGGAGAACATTATGGCTTCCTGTTGTGTGGGGAATAGGCTCCAAGTAATGGGACAGAGTAATGTGTATCAGATTGTATTTTATCTAAGCACCACAATCAGAGCGGCTTGGAGTTGAATTGTTTAGTTGCAGAGACAATACTTTGGCAGAGTTACCGAGCAGTCTAAATAATTAACAACTCTCCAATTGAAAAAATTTCATCTCCTCCCACTTCCCACCGGTGATCATAAAACACTATTCTGAGCTGTTCTATGTGTTGGAGCTCTGCAGTTTTCCCAACTCTAACTCCACCTGTCAGAGTTGTGCAGGAAGGACTTGTCATTATAAGTCACTTAGCAGATCCTTATGGCTGGAGAAATGAGGAAGCCAGGTCGGCCTACAAGTGAGAGTTCATATAAGT